TGAAAAATGGCTGCCCTCTGCTCTGGGTGTGTGTGTTCACTGCTGTGTATGTGCGCACTTTGGATGGGTTAAATGCAGAGCACTAATTCCAAGTATGGGTCACCATACTTCGCCACATGTCATGTCACTTTAAGTACACAAACTTAACACTAGATGGCAGTGTTTCTTTTTTTCTTCACGAAAATGACCCTTGAACTCTCATCATCTCATTATTAAAGTGTATATTCATTCACAAAACAATGCTTTTAATGTAAGATATACTGTTCCCAGTGCTGCTGTAAAATTCTAATATATAACAGTTTTTCTCAATTGCTTTTGCTTAATTCTCAAATGAGAGTTTTTTTTTCTCTCAAAACAATAAGTTAAGATGTCTGAACAGTTAGTGTCTTGTTCACATCAGATTTGAATTTCTTCTTGATTTAGTCAAACTGCATGTGTTTTGGCACGTGTGTGCAAATGAGTAAGAGCAATTGTCTAAGATATGCACAGGCACATGGCTTCTTGTTGATCAGCCATGTACTACAGCAGTACTGTATAATACATTTATATTTGTACGGTACATTTATCTGTAGAAATGTGTTACATGTAAAACTGAAAATTCACAGTTGTTTGTTGTGGAAGAGCAATAGGAAGATAAGAATGTGTGTTGTTGGTGGTGTGAGGGGAAGACAACAGAGTGTGTAGAAATTAATAAGCAATGATGGCTTTTCAGTTTACATGTAATGCATTTGTACAAAACAAATGTACTGTATGAATAAAAATGGTCGTTTTTGTGAACATTTTTATTTATTTACTACAATATTGACTTTTCAATTTTGTGTACTACACAGTATTGACTTTTCCCAATGAAAATACAAATGAAAATTTAATATAACAAATATTTCCATGGTGAAAAAAGATCAAAACATTTTGACCCGTGTGGCTCACATGATGACAAAAACACTTTTTATGTTGGTGGCATTGGCCTAGTCACTAGATTTTGAAGCTTGAATTATACGTTTTGGTGAGTTACTTCATTGTGCCGACATGCAATAGGGTTATGATGTTCCAGCAGTCAGTTGTGACAATTAAACTTTATAGTTTAGAGAATGTTAAGACTGTTTCGAAAAATGCGCCAAAGCAATTGAGGAAAAGTTTAATTCAAGATCTTCATTAAACACTGTAAGAAGCTTTCTAAATATTTTGTCTTTTTGTTTAATCTCTTTTTTCATGACAGTGATGGCTAATACAAAGCTGCCATTTTAGTTTTATTGTGATGGTATGATTATAGTGTTTTGGCATTTATAATTACCCTGGTAATTTTTACAAGAGTTGATATCATATTTTTCCAGATTAAAACTGGTTCAGTTGACGTTGTTTTAACTCATTACTAATAGTTAAATGACTCAGACTATTTTGAATAAAGGCCGTGTGGTGATTCAGTACATTCGTTCTCTGTGTTAACATGTTGTAGCTTGTGTTTGAAATGGGTGTTTAAATCAAGTATTTTGGTTTCTTCGATGCCTCTTTCAGCTAACAACAGCAGAATAGGGCTTTTAGCTATTTACCATATTTAAATTCGGCAGAGTTTCACAGATTTTCCCAACAATCAGTGCAGAAAATGTAGTAAATTTATTAAAAATAAACGAAAATAAACGAGCCCAAAAGAGCCCATGTTACACCTCTCTTTATCTCCTTGCACTGGCTACCGGTCGCGGCTCGAATCAAGTTCAAGACATTGATGCTTGCATATAGAACAGCCACAGGCTCAGCACCCGCCTACTTCCACTCACTACTACGAATCTACATCCCCTCCAGAACTCTGAGATCCGCTAGTGAGCGACGCCTCGTGGTACCATCACAGAGAGGCTCAAAATCACTTTCCAGAACATTCTCGTTCACCATTCCTGGCTGGTGGAACGATCTTCCCACCCCTATCCGGAATGCTGAATCCCTGACAATTTTCAAGCGACAGCTGAAAACTCGTCTCTTTCGAAGCTACTGCAAAATGACTAAATGTAAATGTAAATGTAAAATCATAATATTGGCATAATTCAAGGACATTGGTTTAAAGTGTGTCTAACATTTTTGCATTTTTGAAACAGTTGTCATGTTTCTTTTGTGAAAACAAAAAATGTTGGTGTGGTTACAACATATAATACAAATTAAAAGAATAAGTATTCAAATTACTGATTTGTCATACACGGCTAAATGCCAGAGTTTATATGTCACACCTCATACCTGTAGTAAATCACTCTCTCCCGACCCTTTTTTCACTATCTTTACCATCAAACAAAAATGCAGGTCAAGGTTCTTCAAAAGTGATCAGAAATACAGGAATTAAAGTATTGTTTCAACTGGCACAAAATGTTAATCAAA